TGATTTCAACTTCCATTGGTTGGTTGGACATTTTAATATATTTGAAAAAAATTAAACAAGTTTCAATTAAATTAAATCAAATAAAATTAATTTTTTTTGATAACAAGTCTGGTATTTATAATGACAATTTTTAATTGCGTGTGTGACAAATTTTAATTGCATGTGTGACAAATTTTAATTTTAATTAATTTATTTCGTGCACACATAATTATGGTGTAACGTTACACCCTCCCGCTGAATTTTCAACACTGATCACCACCTGATACTACCGGGTTAATTTTTATTTAAAGTTTTGAATTTTCTATGTAAATTACACTTCTTTACTCCACACACATATCTAGATACAAAGTGTCTATAACATGCATTCATTAGTCGAGTTTCAGGATTTAACTCACTTTGATTACAAGCCTAGTAATAAAAGTCATTGTTATTAAATAACTATTATGGAGGAATTATTGAATTTGTATATAATCTTAAAATTATCTATCAGGATAATATGTTATAATTTGGAGCTATATGACCAGTTAATAAAGCTCTCCTCATATTTTTTTTTTTTGTTTTTCTTTTTCTTTAATTTTATTTTATTTAATGAAAAGATCTACATACAATTTAGCCAATCAAGTTTCTTCCAAAAATTTCCCAAGGTCATGTGATTTTATTATCAAGCATTGAAAGATTAAAATAATTCTATTGGGGGATAATTACATTGATATGAAATTAAAATAAGAACATAGCTAAGATTTAAAAAAAATACATTAAATTCTAAAAAAAACGCGTAAACATTTGTCATCTTTATGCTTTTAAATTTAAACATTTACTATCATTTCAAATGTTGTAGTTGGTTTAACCTTCCTGATAGCCATTTGGTAATATTTCTCAATAACTTTTATATGTTGTTTATAGCACCTCAAAAACGAATCAACAGCTATTTTGGCGTTAAAAAATTCCTCTTTATAAAGATCCGAATCGTAATCATCAAAAATCATAATTCCATCTTCTTTTAACAAATTCCAGGATAAAACAGCATCCGATAAGGCATCGCAAGCAACATGTGAAGCGTCAATATAAATAAAATCAAACATTATTCTTTTTTCTCGATTTAATTCAATAAGGGCATCCCGAGAGTTACTTTTGATAATTTCCACTTGATTTTCTTTGCCAGTTTTTTTGAGATTGTCCAGAAAATTTTTTTCACTATCAACATCGGGAAGAAGCCTTTCAAAATTATCAATAACCACCAGATGGGATACGGGATTTTTAAATAATTCATCCAAAATCCAAGTACTTGACCTTCCCTCAAATGAACCAATCTCTAAAACGTTGATTTTTTGTTTTTCCAAGCCGTGTAAAATTCTTTTCCAGTAAGGAATATGCTGGTCAAACCAATCGCTGCTGAATACGTATTTTTCCCTTTGCACTTGGTTCGAGGAAGGGGTAGCAGGAGCAAGTTTATTATGATTTTCCGTTGATTCCTGGTGCAATTGATTAGAATTCATTTCAACTTTGGTTTCAACTAGTATAACGAGTGGAAGATTAAATAATAATTTACAACTCTTATTATGACGTTAGTATCATATGATCTGATGTTTATTATACATTCTAGATTATGCACGGAATTCGAATATTAGCTCAAATAATATTATCATACACTAAAAATATAATATACGTACATACATAGGTTATACTATGAAGAATTTTTAATAATAATAAATAAACTGAAAAAAGGACACACAAAAATTTGAGTAACAGATATAAATATTTTTTTAGATCAGTACTTTAACTTTAACCAGGTTTTTCATTTTTAAAAATCTGGCTGAAATTATAGCAGCCGGATTTAAACCAGATTTAATTATCTATATAAAAAATTTTTAGGATGTTCACGTGAACAACCATATGTGTATATTGATATATCCATATATATAATCAATTAACTTTTATAACGTACTGATTATGCATGCAGACATGTTGATTGTTACGCCTAAATATAATTTCGGCAACTATGCATTATTAATGTTAATATCAAGATGGTCAAAACGAAATCACATTATATTGATATTTTTTTTATTTATTTTTTTACAATTAAATTTGACTTGTAATGTAAAATTCATATTTCTATATTTATTTATATTAATATTTTAATGTGATGGTGCATGCATTATATTAATACTGATATATATATATTTTAAGCATACTGTCAAACGAGCCAATGGCATTAGTACTGACTGGCTAGTCACCAAAACTCGTTGCAGTGATCAACGTTTTATTTTCATAAACGTTAGACTATTCGAATATTCTATTATTCTATTATTTGGTACTATACCAAATCAGCAATGATTATTATGATAATTAAATTTCATGAGAAAAATCCCCCATTTCGTATTCACTTAACACAAACGGAAAATTATATATATATATATATAGTTATTTTAAAGTCAGGAAATTCGCCCATAATACTACGCCTGTAAGCTTTAGTAGATTTAATACATAGAATGAGCATTTAAAATTGATCTAGTTGATAAGGTTGTACTAGCTTATTATGAAAGAAATTTCTCAAAGAATATACATATCTGTACAGTGGTAAAACAAGTTAATATCAAAAAGGGTGATATCTGCAAGTTTCTACAATGCTGTTATTGTGGTGAAATCGAATATATAAGAATAATCGGATACCTCTTGAACCAACAGAGGAACGATTCCGTATTGCTGAATCAGTCAAGAATTCATCTACACCAACAATTTTACCCGAGAACCCTAACCGAATTGATGAAAATACTTTGCATCTAAAATCTAGTATTGCGCATATTAACTTCCCAATACCTATAGTTGTGGAAGAAACAAAAAAGAAGAAATCCAAATCCGCTCGCATACCTGATTCGCCTTCCGGTAATAATGGTTCGACAGAAAAGGTAGGTGGAATATCTTCAAAGAAAATGCACTCTGTGCATTAGAGACAAAAAAGAACCATTGCCTAATATCTTGCAAGAGCCAGAAGATATTTTACTGTTGTATAAGCGGATAAATAAAGAGATGAAAAAGTCAGATCTCGGAGTCGTACCCTTACTTCACAGCTAACTAGAGCCGGTGTTACCAACTTGTGTTAGTGGAAATAGCCCTGTTAATAAGTTATCATATCGATCTTGCAAGTTATTATAATACCCAATCATTTCAGAAACCGATTGAATGCTAGTAAATAATGCTTTCAAGTTCTTTTTCACGGTTTACTCTCACAATTTACGCTTTTTTTTTAATTCTGTATCTGGCTCTTTGGAAATAAATGGAATTGCATTAATGTGATGTACCTCAAGCTTATTTTCACCTCTGTGCATAGTAACTGGGATGTAAAAATCCTTCCCATTGACAATTAAACCTCATTTCGGATTTAGGCCAACCCATAACACATCCATGTTTTCCAAGGAAAGGATTACTCGATATCAACATAGACTTGGTATTCAATAACCACAAAATCTACACAACCCGGAACTAGGGCTAACGGTCATGCATGGGATGGTAATTGTTTTGCCAAAAATGTAATAGTAATACGAAATGACGAAATTAATTACTATTACGGGTGACGAAATAATAATGATCAAAATCAAAATTATTTATTAATTATAATTAAACCTGAATAAGAATTTGATTTATTATATTTATTTATTTAACAAAAATATTTAAATAGATTTTTTCGAATTAGTATAGTTCTTAACGTATTTAAATATGATGATTGGGCAATGAAAGATATATAAATCAAAACATTTAAGTGTGCAAGTATAAATTACATTAATGGGTAATGATAAATAATAATTGGATAAATAATAATTGGATCAATACATTTTATTTTGCTTTTACACATAATAAGGTATATAACTTTACATTTGTAATCAATTAAAAAAGAGGTTATGGTGGAAAGAGTTGTTACACGACCATTAATCGTGATATTTGTCCAAAAAATTTGTTGTTACACGCGTCAATTTAGTTTAGTGGTGATTATGGCACTGCAATGCATCACTCTAGTTATAATTAACAAGATACCAATTGATTTGAATTTCATGCAACTTTGGTTCAAGTTCTAAATTCTATTCATTGACTGATCTTAAAAAATTTTTTTTTATGTTGGTAACAGAGAAGCAAATCAGGAGGATGATAAATTATTGTCCGATAATGACAAGAATGGTGAAACTAAAGGAAAAAAGAACTGCTGTTAATTGAATTTATTGGATTTGATGATATTGATGTTAGTAATATCTTTGTTTCTGGTGGCAATACGATTATTGACTCCAAATTAGGAACATCCTTTAGCATTTTTCACCAAAACAATTATTACAATTGTTCCATAAACCACATGATGAATTACCGTCTGATGAAGAAGACATATTGATGAAGAGATGGAAATTGAGGGGGAAACTGGAGGAAATTGATGATGTAATTTTTTTTCTGTCTTTTCAGAAATTCAAATTCAGATATTTTCACATCGCTTACATCATGATTAAAATAGAACATAGATAAAGCCCCCAAAGAAGAAGAACAAGAGAGCTGGAATTCAGTAAAGCTGCATTCGAGAGACTGGTAAGAGAGATCGTAGAGGATGTGAGGCTAGGGGTAAGGTTTCAATCAGGTGCTATTAGTGACTTGTAAAAGGTACAGCTTCTTTTTCAACCAAAGAATTAATTTTTTTTAAAAACACCAAGAATTAATCCTAACATTCAAAAAGGTAATTGAAACACGATCAAGACATCTGTTCAGAGGTGCGTATATACAATATCAAGTTAAAAAATTAACAACTAAAATATAATTTCACTAATCACCTGTGATGTATGCGAATAAGGAAGAAATGGGGCCAGAAGATTTGAGATTTACTGCTGAATTTAGAGAGGGAGCAAGAATAGAGACATTGACAGATTTATAAATTTTAAAATCATTTAAAACATTTTACAAAAACAAACATTTAATAAGCTTAGTATGGATGATCATTAAATCATGAAGAAGATAATGATGGTAGATTTTTTTCATATGGTTCTTCTCCATCTATCAGCATTGTGGTGTAGGATGAGTTATATAACATCAATTGTATCAACTTATTCAGTTTTTCTTCTAATATGTAGCACATCTACAATGTGATCTAACAAAATCATTCATATTAACAGTCATTTATTGGTGCTTGTTTTTTTTTAATTAACTTCTTATCTCTCAATTTCAAATGTTATATCACAAAAAATAGAAACAAATAGATATATATCTATATATATCTATTTTAAATTTATAAAGTTGCCAAAAGTGTTAATCCAATTAAAGCTTATTTTATTTTATTTTTTAGAAAATCTTTTTTTGCACTTTCAAATGTGTTTCGTAATAACATTGCAACAGTCATTGGTCCTACACCACCAGGAACTGGAGTTATATAAGATGCTACTTTTGATGCACCAACAAAATCTACATCTCCTACCCATCTTACACCATATTTTTTACTAGGATCTAAATAATATATATTTTTAATAAAAAGTTTCATATATATATGTTTGTGTATGTGTACTAAAATAATTGTGTTTAACCTTTGATAGGATTTGTTCCAACATCAATTATTATTGCACCAGGTTTTATCCAATCACCTTTTATAAATTTCGGCTTTCCAATTGCCACAACAATAATATCTCCAGTTTTAACCTGTAATATACACACATACATATAAATATAATATTTGAAATATAAATAATATCAATATACAACTAAGAATGTGTGTAATTAATTTGATACAAACAATTTCATTTAAATTTTCGGTTTTGGAATGACACAAAGTAACTGTAGCATCTAGATGAGATAATGATAAAAATGTTGGAATTCCCTAATAACAAAATAGAATAAAAAAGGCATAATTAATCTTAATTTCCTCCATAAAAAAACCATTTGTAAATATTAATACTCACAACTACATCACTACGCCCAATTACAATTGCTTGTTTACCTCTAATTTCAATTTCTATGATATAAATATTAATATATTTATTTATTTATTTATAATAAAAATAATAATAATTTTTTATTACCAGCTTGATTTAACAATTCAATGATTGCTTTTGTTGTACATGGTAAAAATAAAGGTTGATTACTTCTTTTTGCCAAACTTCCAATATTATAAGTATGAAATCCATCAACATCTTTATTTGGATCAACAGATTCAGTAATAGTTTTTTGATCAATATGATTTGGTAAAGGAAGTTGTACTAAGATTCCATGAATCGATGAATTACTATTATATTCACTTATTATTTTCAATAACTATAATTAAAGTGATAAAAATTACTATTATTACAATTTTTATTAATTATTTTTATCTATTTATTACATTATTAAATATACCTCATTTTCTGTAATATTTTCATCCTTTTTACATAATGTATACTTGATTCCAACCTAAAAATCATTGTTAAAAAAACTTTTTTATTATAGTGATGAATTATTATTATTAGTTTAATTTGTAATATTAATGATTCTTAATCACTTCTTGTGCAGCTTTTTGTTTTTGTCGAACATAAAGATTAGAATCTTCTCTATTACCAACTTGTATGATGACAAGATGTGGTGATATTATTGTTGAGGTCATTCTGGACCTTTCTTTGATTTCTTTGGCTAATAGATCTCTTATATTTCTAAATAATAAATTTGTTAAATTATTAATTGAAATTATTAATTGAAACCTTGGATATAATTTATCCATAATTTTTTTTTTTACTTTGCTATAATTGTTCCATCAATTATCTTTGCTATATTATTTTTATTGGTAAAGGATCTATTAAGAAACTTATCATGATTTTTTATTTTTTTATGATAATAATTATAATTCAATAAACGAAAATTAAAAAGTTTTATTGAATTAACGCGACTCATCAGAAAGCTGTAGTAAGGATAATTCTGCAAATCCTTACTCTATGATATATTAGTAAAAAGATCGTCACATCGCCACTTCATTCATGCTGTAATAATAATAAGTAAACCTTACTATTGATTCCTCCAAAGAAACTAGCAACTTGTAAATTTGTAAAGCATGGTAATTGTTTTCTAATGACACGAAAAAGTTATATTGACTTGCTGGCTGCTATTTCTATTCAAGAATTACAACTCAAAGATGCATTAATTAATTAATTCACTGCATAATGAAAAATTTATATAAAATTAAGATTATATATTATTTATATTATGCTATTGGTGAAAAGTATTTGATAAATGATTATTATGAAAAATTTAACAATGGTATTCTTACTGTAATTCTTGATAATTTTCTTGACAATTTAAGAAACCAATTGTGCCTTCACATAAACATTTAGAAACTATCAATTCAAAAAAGTTAATATATTACATGATTCTGACTGACAGGATCATGTAATCTTCGTGATAAATACTTTCTAATATCATTTGTTGGTCTTGTGATGTAGAATATTTTTGTCTCTTGCTTTATACATAAAAATTGCATTAATAATTATATTCTTGTATCAATTTATTGATTATTATTTCTCTATCGTCGGTATTTACTTGTTAATGTTAATTTAAGAGTACCCGGAAAAAATATAATAATAAACTTAAAGAGGTATTATCGGTATGTTTTATTCATATATTTATAATATTGATATCACAGAAACAATACTAATAATACACAATAATGGAATTTGCGATTAACGAATTAGATAAATTTAAAAAGTTATTCTCGATGACATTCTATTAAGGTTCCGAACGGATCATATGAATTCTGATTGATCCATTCGATTCGCGTGATATATGGACTGATAATAATGGTGAATTGTCATCTTCCGTTAGAAGAAAACAGGTGAATATTAAAAACAAATTAAAAGTTGTACATATCAATACATTTTGGATCTTGAATTTGATTCTTCATCTTCTATATGCAGCAGTGAATATTCAAGTCTTTCAATTTTATCAAATTCATCATCAGTCTTGTCTGTAGAAAAATCAGGTAACAAAAAAAATAAAATAAGTAATTATTTTGCTCATACTCTAAGCAAGGCAAGAACTTGTATTGAATTATACCATAGATAATGAATGGTTAGTCCTTCAGATGGATGAGTTGACAAAAAATCAAGTTAAATGTATTATTTAATTTTGCATAAACCAGAGACAAAATTATTTTCAAAATATTAATATGCTGTTCTGAGACTAAATGTGATATTTTTGATATATTTTATTACCATTTATAATTTGTCATTATTATATATAGTGTTATTATATATATTTTTTTTTTTCCAAATAACTAGTAGTAAGATTTATTAGAATATAGGGAAGAGGAATTAGCATTTGAAAAAAAAAAGATCAGATAAAAATGGAGGATGTTTTTTCCTACGCCAACAACATATCTATTAATTATTAAAAAAAAGACGATGATGAACAAATTGTTCATCCGAATATAGTCTTTGTCCTATAGTTTTCTGGTTCTGAGGACAAATTTACAATTGCACTCAAAATCTACTTTAGGAGAATAATATATTTATTTGAAAAGAAAATAATTTATCATAATGAACCTACAAAATAAATATAAAAATAGAATAATCCTCTATTAAGAATGTTTTTTAAAGATTAATGAATCAATCATTAATAATAATAATATTTTTTCCCTATATTCTTTGATACATTTTATTTCTAAATTCACCATATATATATATTAAAAAAAAAAAATAAGTTAAAAAGAATAATGATTTTAGATTATATATAATTAATATATTATCTTGACAAAATCTTCTAATATTTCATCACCAAAAAATCAAATCTAAATAGAGAAACGAGTGCGAAAGAAATTTTTATATTAAGATGTATAATTAAAAAATTCAAAGTAAAAATAAATTTGAAATTTACATTATGAAAATCTTTTTTTTTTTTAAGTTGTGGAAGGTGTCACATTAGTCACATTAGGTGATGCATCATTATTATTCCCATGAATTTTTTGGTGACGACGAAGATTACTGACAACTGAAAAGTGACGTCCACATCCTTCTACTGGGCATTTAAATGCTAGTATAAACAAAACAAAAATATAAATATAAATAATCAACAAGTATCTATTCAAAATTTATTATTACTTACGTTTTTCACCAGTATGACTATACATATGTGTTTGTAGAGAACTTGGTCTTGTAAATCTTTTTTGACAAATGTCACATTTATATCTTTTGGGAGTTGATGAAATAGTTCTTGAATTAAAAGTGGTCATCATAGCTTGAGGAGAGGATACTCTTGGGGATATTGTTTGTGGTTTATCTGGTGCGCCACCATTATTATTATTATTATTATTATTATTATTATTATTATTTATTATTATTATTATTATTAATGTTATTTGTAGTTGAAATACCATTTGTTACAGTAAAACTTGCACCGCCATTCAAAGCAGCAATCGATGCATATTCTTGTGGTGTTGGAGCCATTGCATAATTAGCAGTTTCATGTTGAGCCAAACCAATCGGAGATTGACCATAATAGTTCACTGGAGCAGTAGTAGTCGAGGCAGCAGCTACAGGAGTTAATTTCATTGAAGGATCATTGAAAAGAGCAGGATCCAAAGTATGATTTTCGTAAGTTTTTGTTGGTTTTGGAGGATAAGGACCAAAGGGATAAGTTGAACTATTATTACTAGTCCATATTTCTTCAGTTTTTACAACACAATCGGATGATTCAACGGCAGATTTATCACTAAAGAATAATAGAGAATGGGGAGGAGAATATGAATATGGAATTCTGATAATCATGATAATCAATGTTTTTAAATGATCTGTAAGTTGTTTAACATATACTCTGTTGATGATTTTGGTATAGCATCAAATGCCTTTGTGTTGTTAGATGAATTAATGGTTGCTTTATCTACGTCTCCAGTAGCAGTAACGGTATCATTGGTGGTAGTTTCAGTAG